CAAATGTGGGCCGGTAGGATTTAGGTAAGCAACAAAAAAAAAAAGGGAGTGGCCGGAACACTTACAAATGTGGGCCGGTAGGATTTAGGCAAAACAAATAAAAAACAATTTTATTTTATTTATTTTTTTGGCCCACGCACAGCACCGGCCCACCGGGAAAACTCCGGTATTCCCAATGGCCAGTCCGCCCCTGACTATGGATACTAGTCTATCTTTCTGATTTACACCTGCTCCATACTAGGCGTAAAAGTTACACCCGGGCGCAACGCATACAGGGCTTAAGTCTAAGTGGTGCACTAGTCATAACTTTAGTTTGGTCTTAACCTTCGGTTCTACGTCGGACGTAGAGTTACGACCAGCTGGTGCACTCCACTCCAGGAGTCTAGTAATAGGAGCAGTGGGCAGCTATTGTACAGCGCCCGGGGGGCAATGGGAGTGGGGGGTATTCCGGTGCCTTGCTCAAGGGCACCACGGCAGGGCAGGAGGTGAACTGGGACCCCTCCAAGTAGCAGTCCACACTCCATATTTTAGGTCTGGTCAGGGACTTGAACCAGCGACCCTACAGCTCCCAGTCCAAGCCCCTTCTGATTGAGCCACTGCCGGATAATAATGTATTATTATTTTATAAGAGATTAAACAAAGCTTTGTTGATGACTTTTAATAATTAAGTTACTCAAGGTCTTTGATGAATGGTTTCAGCCCCAAATGGAACAAACAACTCTTAATTAAAAGCCTTTCAAACTTTCACCTTCAACCCAAAGTTTTTAACATGGGTTTTAAAGCAACTGGTGATTATTACATTTATTCAATAACGTGAACCCTGCCGAGTCTACTTATTTACAGGAAGGAATAATCATGTAGTTATTTCCGGCACAACAGAGAGCTTGATTCATAATAAAATAGGCAATTTCACCTAAATCCCCCCACAGGGTGACTGGTAGACTAAGGAGGGATTTGATATGAGGGGTATGAGCGCTGTGATGTTGTGTTATCAGCTGAGTAATTTGCTCTTGTATAAACATGAATTAGTGTTATCTAAGTGCCCCCTGACAGCCGATTGGCTCCTCATTAGGCCTGTGTGAAATGAGATTAGCAGCGAGCCTCTAAATTATGATCCAATCCCGGAACACATAATCTCTCAGACATTCACCCTCACTCTGCCTCTCTCCGTCTATTTCTGTCTCCTCTCTTTCTACATCCTCTTCCTGTGAGGTGCTCTTTCTTCCACGTCTCTCCTCAATTGACCTATTGCTCTTTCTCATTCTTGTTTTCCCTCCACAGAGTGCAACTGCAGCGGGAGGTCTGACGAGTGTGTGTTTGACGTGGAGCAGTACCGCAGCACCGGCAGGGGGGGGCGCTGTGTGAGCTGCAGAGACCACACCGACGGGCCCCATTGTGAGCGCTGCAGAGAGAACCACTACAGGAGGTCTGATGAGGAGCCCTGCCTACCCTGCAACTGCAATATTAATGGTAAGCTGCACAGAGCCCATTGTTTGCATAATAACTTGAAACCCCTAATTATAATCCATGTAAATATCATTACTCACCATTTTTGTTCAGTCTGCCATGAGAGCATTTCATTATGCTTAAATTGGAACGACATATTGGCACAATAAGGCATCACAATGTAGCTACACAGAAACAGGACTCGTAGGATTAATGTAATTAAATCATTAATAACATTACTCTCACACATCGACTATTACTAAACTGCCAAACCTTACCTGAGTATTTTTATGATTCATAATTAATACAATCTTATTTGTCTTATCCCCTGAACATCTCATCAGATTAATCCTCGCCTTATCCTCCCAAATGACCATTAAAATAAATCCATGACTTTGCTGTTAAGAATTAATTCAATTGACTCACTTAATAGTCTGTTTGCCAGCTCATAGAGTCCTATTGTGAACCCAGAAATGTTTAGTGATAGAAATGTATAGTTCGGGGCCCTGCAATAACTTGCATGTTGAGCAATTTGCACAATTAGCATATAATAATAGTTAATTAGCATATGCAGACAATGGTCAATAAATAGCTTGGCCGATTTAGAGTTTGGAGTGATTTTGGAGGTTATTGAGGATTGAGCCAATTTCTCAAATGTTTGGGATAAAAAATGGCAGTTTTAACCAGAAACAGTCCACATTTGTAATCCCGTTGGGATGATTTTGATGAATGTAGGGTTTTAGGAGACTCACAACTGCTATTTTTGATCCGAAAATGTATTCGACATCCTCAATATATACTATAAAGAGCACACCAAAATTGTCGAAATCGGCCAAGCCATTTTTTGGCTATGCCTGCATATGCTAATTTATGCTAAGTAATGCAATTTATGCGAATGGTGCACATTTTGCTGGCAGTTTGGGAATACATTTCTATCATAAAACTTTGAGATACATTTCCAGGTTCACACTGCTGGCAAGTAGACTATAAAGTTGTCAGTTATCAAAGACTCAGTGCTCATTAAACACTGTCTAATTTTAGCTGCAGGAAAATGTTTGGGCTGTTAATTACATCATGTTCAGTGCAAAGAGAGCGAACCACAGAGAGAAATGGACAAATACCTTAGCTAACTTTCGCTCTTCATTTCCTAGGTAGTGTAAGGTGATTGCACACAGTTGTTGGAGTCCATTATATTGATCAAAGGTTAGAGCAGACTCCATTGGGCTTTCTTTTTCTCTCCATGTCCAACTATACCCCAGCTGGTCTTTTTTCTCCATTAACTTAAGCTACAGTATTTCAGACACAGTGTGGAAGCAAGGTTATCTCCTGCTCCTCAGAGCTCGTCTCTGGGACTTTTGAACAGAATTCAATAACAGGTATTCAGTTATCCCCGTCACGACAAATTATTAATGATGTACTGATGGATTTTTAAGTCCCTCCAACCACCATTTTCTTGAAAATACTCCCTTTCCTTGTTTCCGTGTACCCTTTTAACTTTTTTTTCTTTCTTCTGATCCATCTGCTGTCAGGTTCACTGAGTCTGCAGTGTGATGTAGAGGGAGGGTGTGCGTGTAAAAATGGCGTGACAGGGGAGAAGTGTGACACATGTCGGGCTGGCTTTCACTCGCTTGGCCCTGGTGGCTGCAGGTGAGCAACACACATGGTCATAAAGACGATTAATGAAAGAAATATTTATAATAAGGCATCTTAAGGGGTTAATAGGAATAAACAGGTACAACAGACACACATACATCCTCCCTGTTTTGCAGTTGCACCATCCTACTTCCCCGAGCTTGAATTTATCAAACTCCAAAGCAGCCGTAAACAAGAGGATTTCATTTCTCTCTGTGACACCACTTTGAATTAGTGACCTTCTTATCAGCATGAGTCAGGATGTGCTCTACAGAATCTATCTGCTAATAACCATTTCTAAAAAGGCAAGACAACCCGGAGCACTTTAATTTTCCACATGGAAACTTGAACTTAAGAAAAACATCAACATTTGATGTAATCAAGATTTCCACAAATACTTTAATACAACTCAAAACAGGATGGTTTACTTATTTCTAACCTCTGTTAACCTCTAGGATTCCTACGTGTCACTTCTTGGTTCATTTGTTGGTCTTTATTAACGTATGTTCCACATTATCTCATTATTAGAATAAATGTCCATTTCATTTGTCTGAAATCTGGTCTAATGAATCCACTAAATGTCAGACAGACAAACTTGAATATTTAAAAGCTAAATAGCTACATGTAGGTACTTCTCAAAAGTTGGTGGAGACTAAAACATGCCAACACAGAGATTGAATATTGGACTTGGAAACATGGGATTGCTTAAAACAAAACTCCAAATGATTACTACAGCCTGTCCTCCTACAAAAAGCCCTTATTACGATCCAGACACGTATTAAAGTGTATGTTGTTTCTTACACGACCACTAGAGGTGCTCTAGTGGTCGTGTAAGAAACAACATGCTTGATTGCAAACGCTCCGGAGGGACGTTTATTCACAAATAACCCTCTCTGGAAAATCCTAAATTGTGGAATAGTTTGGCCATTAAAATGCTTTTTGATTCGATTTCTAGCGAGAAGTGTATATTGTACTTTTAGAATCCACGTCCAGTGGATGTGTAGGATCTATAGTTTGATAGATATTACGAAGATGATTTGAGGTCTCGCCAGGATAACGTGTATATGCGGCAGCTTCCATGTAAATTTAATGTGGGTGAAAACAGTTTTTCAGGTCTCTAAGTTTTCATAATAAAACCGGATATATTCCCCTCACTGTCAAATGATTACACAGTGATATCTGCATTACTCATCCACTAAAAAAC